CCCAACAAACCCCTAATCAACCACTCAATCGAAATCACCCCCTGATTAACCAAGAATCTAAACAACTCCCATGACTAAGAACCCTATCAATAACAGCAACAAAAAATACCCGATCACCATCATCAAAACTATCCAGCCAATAGATCCCAGCCCTGAAATTCCTAATCAATTCCGCCTCCAATCGATTTAAAAAAGTCCTAAAACACGAATCCACCTCTGAAATAAATCGAAAAGACCTGAAATTCTAACCCGGGAAAGATAAAATCAGGAGAAAACACGCATTTCTGGGCGAAAAAATGCGGTCCAGACGCGTAAATCCGTTAACGGATATAAGAAATCTCAACGATGAAGAACCCCAGGTAGCCATCAATTAATCATCCGCCCTGAAAAACAAATTAAAATATCAATCATTATCTAGAAAAACACGCGCTCGTTCTAAACAATTAAACTAATAAACTGGTGGGAAATTGGGCGTGAATTGATACAGCTTGAAAGCTGAAAAAGGTCAAGAATCGGAAACAAATCATTGTCGAGCGAACCATGCAAAAGATAGATAGCAGCTCTGCGTGTATACCTGCCTCCTCAAAATTCTTCCTGGATTTCAATGCGGAGGAGCATTATTGGTAGGCTATAAAATGGTCCATCTTTTCTTTAGTTCAAGGAAATTTGATAGAAAATTTAAAAAAAAAACAAAGACTTGTGGTTCAGTCTGGTAACTGGTAACTGGTAAGTGTACCCTCACCCCGCCCCCACCTGAACACATCTCGTACCCCATGAATTAATTTTGACTCAAAAGTCAAAATTAAGGTGAGAGTACAATTGAAGGAGGTGGGGGTGTTAGAGTTGGTAACTGATAAGTGTACACCACATGCTTCTCACCATCCATTTTTATTTGATTTTTATTTATTTATTTTTTTTTGAATTTACTTGCCAATTTTTGTGGTCAAGGAGGGGGTGGAGGACATTTGGGGTACACCTGTACCCCTAGCATTTTCCTTCCAACAAAACATCTTAACTTTAAGACACCACAAAAATTTCCATTTTTTCTATTTTCTTGCGGAACATCCAATTTCACCTGCTAAAATCTTAAGCAAATTTAATGGAGAATCAATTTCACCTGGAAAAAATGCAGGACAAACGGTTTTAATACCGCAAGTTTCGTTGACTCCATCAGATGCCAGATTGCCATTTAAGTTTCAAAGAAGATAATTTCCGGTTATGGTATCATATGTGATTACCATAAACAAAAGTCAGGGACAGTCTCTCTCTCATGTTGGTTTATTTTTGAAAAAACATGTTTTTAACTCTGATAATACTTCATGTAATACTACAATTAATGTGGTTTATACGGAGGTTTTGAGAATGTATGATTGATGTTTAATGTACGTTGTTTTCTTTAATTCATTATAACAGTATGTATTAAATATAATCTACTTTTAATACATGTCTTTATGTTAGTAGTTCTATTTAGAATTAAATAAACTTTACGGTTTGTGAACAACTTATCTCTCCGTGCATCGCACGGGTGATGCACTTGTATCCCTAAGTAGCAAAAAACAAAGAAGCAATGAAAGAAAATAATTTTGTCTCCCAAGGTCAAATAGACTACGACATGATCTATGCTTGATTGATTTTCAATAGAATATGCTCCATAATTAACTTCAGTAATTGCGAATTGAATTACATTATGGGGAATTTACTTGAATAACATTTAAACATAATGACTTTCCCTAAATAGCATCATATGTGTTTTTCCCAATCTAACACTTTTAGTCATTATCCATTATTCAAGTAAATGTTTGCCATCACTGGACATTATTTCTTCTTCTGGATATTATTAAGTATTGTTTAGGGAATAAACAGTTTAAGTACTATTTAGGGTAATGACTTAATTAAGTTTTGGTGCTATTTAGCGCAAATATTTCATTATAGTATATTCGCAGACAAATTATTCCGTTGTCCTTAAGTCCATACTTATTTTATTGATTTTAATACATAAAATGATTATCTGTAGTGGAATTATAAAAAGAGAAAATTTATCTATGAACTCATCAGAAATATAATATGTGAGAAGTGAAGAATGAATATTTTCCAATAATGTAATGTGTGAATACAAGGGAGTATATATAGTAGAGGTTTCCATAGTTATGTTAGGAAACCTATTGTGTTAGGAAACTATAATAAATAAGGACTCTACAATACATAGAAACTACTATATACAAATATACTAAATATATACTTGATATATTTAACATGCTCCTGACGGCGCTGGTAATGAAGGCCGAACTCCCAAGCAATCCCGAAACTCGAAGAAAATAATGGACGGTAGACCCTTTGTGAAGATGTCTGCGTACTGGAGTGACGAAGGGACATGAATTACGCGGACCTGTCCAAGAGCGACCTTGTCACGAACAAAATGAATATCAACCTCGATATGCTTCGTGCGCTAATGCTTGACAGGATTTGCAGAGAGGTAGACCGCACTAATGTTGTCGCAGAAAACAAGTGTGGATCGGGTGAGGGGCTGCTGAAGCTCGAGAAGAAGATTCCGGATCCAACTGACTTCAGCCACGGCATTTGCTACGGCTCTGTACTCGGCCTCGGCGCTAGATCTGGACGTGGTGAGTTGGCGCTTGGAGGACCATGAGATGAGGTTGTCACCAAGGAAAATGCAATATCCGGATGTGGAGCGGCGAGTGTCAGGGCATCCGGCCCAGTCAGCATCGGAGTAGGCGCGCATGTTATCCGTTGGCGACGGAGTGATGGAGATACCGTGTGAAGGTGTGCCACAGAGATACCGGAGGACCCGCTTCATGGCAGTGACGTGGGTCGTACGTGGGGCATGGAGGAAGAGGCAAAGCTGCTGAACTGCATAAGTAATGTCTGGGCGAGTAAAAGTCAGATACTGAAGTGCTCCAACAATAGACCGATACAGCGAGGGATCTGCGGCTGGTGAACCTCCGGAGACCGACATCTTACCACGTGTATCAACCGGGGTGGACACTAGTTTGCATGAGAGCATACCTGCCCGATCTAATATGTCGTACAGGAACTGTGTCTATGTGAGAAACAGACCATGGGTGGTGCGCTGAACATTAATGCCGAGAAAAAAGTGAAGATCCCCCATGTCAGTCATGGCAAACTCACCCTTCAACTGCTGGATGATTGTCTGAAGAAGGCCCTGTGAGGAAGCAGTGAGAAGGATGTCATCCACATATAGTAGAAGAAATGCCATCTGAGCCCCCTGGCTAAACATGAACAAGGAGGTGTCGCTCTTGCAGCCACGAAAACCAAGAGAGAGTAGGAAGGTCGTGAAGCGCTGGTACCAAGACCTGGGCGCTTGCTTCAGTCCATAGAGCGCCTTGTTCAGTTTGCAAACATAATGAGGGCGAGACGGATCCTGGAACCCAGATGGTTGTGCCGTGTAGACCGTCTCAGTGAGCTCACCATGTAGAAAGGCATTTTTGACGTCGAGTTGATGAGTTGGCCACCCACGAGACACTGCTAGACTGAGAATGATCCGTATAGTCGCGGGCTTGACCACTGGGCTGAAGGTCTCATCATAGTCAATGCCATGCCGCTGATTAAAACCACGAACAACCCATCGAGCTTTGTACCTGGACAGTTCACCTGTAGGGCTAAGTTTGTGTCTAAAAAGCCATTTGTCAGAGATAATATTTTGGTTAGGGGAGGGTGGTACTAAATCCCATGTATTATTAGCAATCAAAGCATTATATTCATCTAACATAGCATTGTACCAATTTGGATCTTTAAGTGCACTCCGGTAGGTGGGGGGTATGGGGGAAATACTGGCAACAGTGTTAAGATNGGCGGGTGTTTTGGGCTGTGTTTGGCGGCTGATTAGGTGACGGAAATGCGGGGGGGAGCTATCCTCCATGGCATCTAGAAAAGAGTAATCGGAAGGGAGTTGTGGAGGTGCAAAGGGAAATGTGGACTCATCAAAGGTGACATGGCGTGACACGATTATTTTATGGGTGGCGAGGTCCAAACACCGATAGCCACGCTGGGAGTCGGGAAAACCAAGGAAAATGCACCGCGCAGAACGGGGGGCTAATTTATGTGGGGTGGTGGCAGATAAATTTGGGTAACAGAGGCATCCAAAGACGCGTAGGTGAGTGTAGGCTGGGGGTGTTTTGTAAAGGGCTTCATGGGGAGTGCGATTTTGGAGGGTGGTGGTGGGCAATATATTGAAGAGGTGAGTGGCCATGTGAAGGGCTTCTACCCAAAACTGGGGAGGTAAATTTGCTTGGAAAAGGAGAGTGCGGACGGTGTTGTTTATGGTGCGGATGGTGCGTTCTGCGCGGCCATTTTGTTGGCTAGTGTAGGGACAAGAGAAACGAAATAAAATTCCCAATGACTCAAAGAAGGTGGCAAGGGGGTTGTTTCGATATTCTGTGCCATTATCACACTGGACAGCTTTGATTGTGGTTTGAAATTGATTTTTGACCAGTGCATTAAATTTAATCAGGTGAGAATAGGCATCAGATTTGTGACGTAAAGGAAAAACCCATAAGTAGTGCGAAAACTCATCAAGTAAGAACATATAAAATTTAAAGCCAGTCACACTGGGAGCGGGAGATTGCCATAAGTCTGTATGCATTAATTGAAATGGAAACTGAGATACACGAGTAGAAGAATAAAAAGGTAGGCGAACATGTTTGCCTAACTGACATGCATGACAAAGAAACTCTAGTTTGGATTTATTATTGCTATCTAAAAAGGAAGAGATGCCACGGAGCACAGCTGGGCTTGGGTGGCCGAGTCGGCGGTGCCAGGTGGGAAGGTCGGCTTTGGTGAGATTTGCTTGAGCTAGAGGACGGGCTGAGGAGAATGGGTAGAGGTGTCCGTCACTACTGGATCGATGAATCACGGCTCCCGTCAGTTTGTCCTTCACAAAGAAACCAGATGAGTCAAATTCAACTGTACAGTTGTTATCACGAGTAAATTGACGGACAGATATAAGGTTATGGATAATATGGGGTGAGACTAAGACATTATTAAGGGAGAGGGGGGGAGTGGTTTTGAGAAAACCGTTGCCAGAACCGGTGGTGCTAACTTTAGATCCATTGCCTACAATAATATGAGAAGGTGAATAAATGTTTGAAGAAAATACATGAGATAAAGTACTTGGGTCGCCGGTAATATGGTGAGAGGCGCCGGTGTCCATGAGCCAAGTAGGGTGCGGGTTTAGGGTGAGGGTTTCAAGCCCATGGGCAAGGGCGGTGGGTGAGGTGGGTGTCGGGTATGGGGCTGGGTATGGGTGGGAGGGTGTTGTGGGTTGCGGGTAGTAGGGCTGGGTGGTTTGCGGGTAGCTGGGTGGGTATGGGTTTGGGCTGGGTGGTGCGGGTGGGTAATAGGAGTAGGGTGATGGGTTCGGGTATTGGGTATAATGGGCCTGGGCTGGGTGCGGGTTTGGGTTGTATGTGGGCCGTGGGCCCAAGATGCCGGGTGAGGGGGTGGTGAACTGCCACGGGTTTGGGCCGATAGGTTGTCGTTGGTTTGATCCACGTCCACGTCCGCGTCCACGATACCCGCTGTTGCCGCCCTGGTTTTGACTGCCATAGGGGCCCGTCCAGCGCCCTGCATGCCACCGCCGCCTGTCTGCCGCGGATGGCCACTGCCGGCCGGTTGGCTACTGCCGCTGCCGGTGCTAATGAGTGCAGTAGACGAGCCGGCGCCGGAAAAGGTGTCGGCCTGTTGTTGTTCCACCAGGAGAAGCGCCAAACGAACCTCCAGGAATGATGGGAACGGGTTCTGATATTGCAAAAAATGCACCTGGCCTCGGATGTCTTGGGACAAGCCTTGGAGGACCTGGAGAACAAGGGCGTGTTCAGTCACCGGAGCATCCACGTCGTCGAGATAGTCCGCTAGATTTTTGAGGCGATGACAATATTCCTTGATGGACCGATTTCCTTTGACTGTTGTGCGAAACCGGTGCTCCAACTGCATCGCTCGGGCATGTTTATTGTCATGAAAGAGTTTGTAGATTGCCTTCCACAAGGCATGAGCAGACGGGTTATTGGCGAGGACGAGATCCGAGACTTCATCTGAGACTGTTGATAGAATCCACCCTTGAAGGAGAGCATCAAATTGGTACCATTCTACGTCGTCAGTGGAGGAGGCTACGGTGGTGCCATCAAGAAACCCCATAAGATTGAAACGGAGAACAAGAAGACGGAAGAGCCGACTCCATTTTTTGTAGTTCGGTTCTGAGATGCTGAGTTGTACGGGGATGTGAAGTTTGATATTAGAGATAGTGGTGAAGGCAAGATGAGGGGATTTGGTAGTGTTTTTGTTGTCGGAGGTGACGGCGGATTTTTCGGCCATGGTTGCCGGCGAGAAGAGAGGGCCGAGAGAGGAGAGGATTGACGGCAGAGAGGGGGAGACTGCCGAGAGAGAAGGCCGAGAGAGAGAACTAGGGTTTGAGGGGAGCCGAAAAATTCAAAGCTCCGATACCATGAAGAATGAATATTTTCCAATAATGTAATGTGTGAATACAAGGGAGTATATATAGTAGAGGTTTCCATAGTTATGTTAGGAAACCTATTGTGTTAGGAAACTATAATAAATAAGGACTCTACAATACATGGAAACTACTATATACAAATATACTAAATATATACTTGATATATTTAACAGTATACATTTCACATGCGAATCATAAGACCAAAATAACACAACTCATATTAGCACCTAACATGGATTCAAATCCTTAAATTTACACACTATCCAAATGCACCACTTTGGAAAAAAAATATTTGTTATTCCAAAATATATATCTTTTGTGTTATTTTAGGATCATATTATATTTATTTTTACGTAGTTTCATTTATTATTTAATAAAACAAGATAATAATGACATTACTTATTTTGTTGAATTATATAATTGCATGGATACACACACACATATACATACATACATACATATATATGTGTGTGTGTGTGTCCACACACACTAATTTTTAAATATATTAAACTTGAAAACAACTTCGATCAAATATTATAAACCAAAAATGTCATTGATATGACTTTTTTGGGACAGAGAGAATAATATTAATTTGTGATTAAATTTCCAAATGACACTCAATAACTATGGTAGTCGTTAGTGCTCAGTTTTGTCCCTCGACTAACGATCGCCACAACAGCATCAGAATGACGTTAAAACTTATTCTAATTTCTCAAAATAGTTATTTCTAATCAGGTGTTTTCTCAAATCGGTCCATTTTCAATATATATTTATAATTTTCCAAAATGGTCCTTGATAAAGTTATATCTATATTTTTATTTATTACATTATCATTTTATAAAGTTTGAATTTTTACGTATTCAATAAGTTTATATTTCGAAAATAGGTCAATTTGAAAAAAAATCTAATTAAAAAGGACAATTTTAAAAAATTAGTATAAGTTTTAATGTCGTTTGACGACCATTATTCGGGGACTAAACTATGTATTATTCCCAATCATCGAGTATCATCTCGATGATTAATTTATATAAGAGATTAATCTTAGAAAACACATAGTTATTGAGTTTCATTTTGAAATCTTAATTTATTATGGCTCAAAAGCGTTGGTTCCATCTAAGTTATTGGGGCCTCTTGCGGGGAAGAAGCTTATCCCTAAGATCAACACTATCCATTTCATCAAAATGATGAGTTTCAGGGATCCAGTTTCCACTCCTTGGATCTCTCATCCAGAAAATCGGCCCCTCCGACATTTTCTCTCCCTCGGTGCCGCTCAACCTCGCTAGCTGCTCCGCCATTTTTCCGATCGACACTGATGATGAGGACTTCGCAGTGGTGGGCAATAATTGCCCTTTCAAGCTCTCTGACGCAACCATTGTACTATAATTAGTTCTCCTGTTAAAGAACACATTATTTTAAGCTCTCCGTATAAAAATGAAAACTTTTTTCTAATATACATGTAATGAGGTCCATAATTCCCATAAACTAAGTTTTGACCTTAAGAGTACACAAGAATATGCAAAGTTTAGAATAAATTAAATTGCTTCTCTTTCGTTATTCCCCATTAATTTTATGGTAACATTATATAAAATAATTATATTGTAATTTTACCCGATCTTTCAAAAAAATCGTTTGATGCACAATAATCTTAACTTTCCTAAAATTTGCGAGCTTTGGGTCATCATTAAGTTGTCAACGGCAGCTGGTTAATGAAAATGAGCTGTTTTGCGCAACACAATGTAAGTAGCAATTATATTTTTATGATTTTTTTATTTTTTTTTGAAACTTTCAATTTACTTTTTAAAATGACATTACGTGCTACCTCTATCATTATTTTTTTCTATTTTTAAAAAACATTAGTCTCAAATCAAAAAAATTAAAAAATAGATATAAAAAATAACAAAAAATGAGAAAAAACTAAAACCGTACAAAATTAATGAAATAAAAAGATAACCAATAATAAACTAACCACAAACTAATAATAAATAAAACTAAAAATATACGGAGTGGTAGGTTACGTTCTAACGTTTTAGGCACATTTTAGTCTTGTGCATGAGAAAAAAAATGGATATAAAAATTATTTTTTTACTTCGACGTAATTTCATTTTAGTTATTTTCTTAATAAGATTTCTTTAGGGTTTTAATAAGAAAATAATTTTTTTACTTCTTAGTTTAAAAGTATTATTTTCATATATTACCAATAGGAAGAAATAATACATCAGTACTTTGTATATTGCGTAAAATGTTAGAACCCACCACTACATATATGTTATATCCCTGGATGACTCCACCAAAAATCCCAACTCCTCCCAACATATCCAAAAGTCTTTTATCTCTTCTTTTATCCCAAAATAAAGCCTTTACCATATATTTTAATCCCTGGTCAATAATAAGAAACCAAAACCTTTTTTTTGTTGTTATTTTCCTTTTTTAAGCCTTTTAATAAACAAATAAAACCTTCTCTCCCTTCCTTTCATTCCCTGGCCAAATATACCTCACAACCCAACACACCACCACACCCTTTGAACCCCACAATTGTCCTTCCATTAAATTTACACCCTTAAGGCCAAAACTACTCCTAATAATAGCCTAAATAAGCACTCCCTTACCCCCATATACTGGCCGAAAATAACCTGTCAAAAACCCCCCATTGTGTCCCTCAACTAGGCTAAATAAACAGCCACTAAAATCCAAGACACATTGACCCACACCCACACCAATCCACCCTCCTTTGTCTCCCCCATATCCTGCCTAAGAAATGCCTCTAAAACAGTCAGCACATCTCCCTCATTTAACCCTTTCCCTGTCCAGAATTATTTCCCCCAAAACCCAATCAAATAAGTGAGATACATTCACCTACCCTCACCATTCACTACTGGCCAAAACACCATCCACACAACTACAACTTATCCCTGATTTTCTACCCACCAAAGGGACAACAACAAATGGAGGTCATGCTATTGATTTAGGAGAAGAAGACAGGAAGTTTCCTTATGTCTACATTCAATGTATTGTGTATTTCTTCCCCCTTCCCCTGCCTATATATAATCAGGCCTTATGGCCATTGTAACACATCTTTGAATATTGAAAACCATTTACTTGATACGGATAGTTTATTAAAATATTTTAATTAGTTATAGTATTATTTAGTAGTTATTTATTATTATTATTATTATTTATTGATGGTTTAGGGTTTTAGTATGGGCCCGAGCCCATTAGGTCAATTAGGGTTTTCTGCGTCTTTATATATTGTAACCTTTCGTTATTATTATTAAATCAATCAATAAACAAGAATTCTCTTAATCTCTCGTCTCTCTTTTCTTGGAGCTCGGAAACGCTCGAAGCTTTCCACCTTTCTCTACCTCTTCTTCTTGGAGCTTGAAGAACGTTCGAAGTTCTTCCCTATCCGATACGATATTCGTATCAATTGGTGCTTTCATTGAGATAACACCAAAAAAAAGTCCCAAAAAAAATTGTGCCGATCTAGTTGCAACCGCCGTGTCCCCCTTTGCCCTTGCCGGATTCTTGTGTCGCTGCAATCCCTAGTTTGCTGCCACAATTGCAGAACCCAATTGCTACGAAAGTGTTTAGGCGCTGATCAGTCTTCATAGCTACAAGCATTTTATTTGGAGTACAACATGTAAGGATTCAAGGGAAGAACTTCGAGCGTTCTTCAAGCTCCAAAAAGAAGAGGTAGAGAAAAGTGGAAAACTTCGAGCGTTTCCAGGCTCCAAGAGAATAGTAAAGAGATTAGGATTTTGATATTTCTTTATTGATTCATAATAACGGAGGAGGATTACAATATATAGAGAGTAAAGCTACGCTAGTTGACCTAATGGCTCGGGCCCGTACTAAACCCTAATGTATAGAATATTAATAAATAATAATAAATAATACTAATTAATAAATAATATAACTAATATATTATCATATCATTCCCACCCCCTTAAAATCTACCTTGTCCTCAAGGTGGAGGCTCCCACTCATGCTTTAGGAACGGAGAAAGAATGCCAAACCAAAGGAGCAATCCATTTTTTGAATCTTCAACCATCGTGGATCTTGGAGCAAAGTGATGGAAAGAGGAGACGGGGCGCAGAACATATGTAGTTGCTCTCGATGGAATCAGGTGCTCCGTCTTGATCACATCGACAAGCTCAAACAACTTGATGGTGTCAATCAGCATAGGTGAGTGTGCTTGTTTACCATCTGCATCTGTCACTTTGTCAACACTTTTTGGAATATCATATTCTACAATGACCACACCAGCTGAGATAGAAAATTCCTGAAAAGTAGGATCTGGCTTGTAGTTCTTAGCAACATCTGCATGCTTAAGATCATCATCAATTACTTCCACAGTGTTGGGCTTCCCGTTATCTTCATTTATGGCTTCAAATACACTGCTCACCTCATCTTCACCACGTGGTCCAGTGCGGAGTTTCGTTGCTCCAAGTGCATCCTTCATAGTCGGGGTAGGTAGTGTGGTGGTGTCTTCCACCCTCTGAACAAATTTGTCTATAACATTCTTTGGTGTCTTCTCAAAACAAATATAATACAAATCATGTAGTGGAGCAAATCGAATCTTGAACTTTTCAACAAAATCCGTCCAACCATCAATTAAGCCACCACGCATACGCCAATTAAACCAAGCCAATGCAGAGCCCTCTAACATTGATGCCACACAGTTCAAACGATCAACTAAAGAGACGTCATAAAACTGGAAATACTCACATATCGTAGCTAACCACTGCACGGGTTTGGTTCCATCACATCTTGGGGGCAACGTTGGTGGAGAAGGTGCACCTGTCACTTTTCGTATAATACCCATGATGTGTGTTCTAAAAATTTGTAACTCAAAGGGAATTTGACTTGGCACAATTGGAGGTCCACGAACCAAATCCTGTACCGAGCAAAAAAATTCTACGTCGAGCGCATCATAGTCAATTTGACCTTTAAAATTATGGATCGACCTGAGCTTCATAATAATTTCATACACGTGATCAAAAATCAAACACACCCCTTCATCATACGCAATTTCTCCATTAAGAATCTTCTCTAGCAAACTAAGAAGTCCGTCCAACGCATACTCCATTATCAAAATTAACACCACCACACAAAAATATCACAAAAAATACTCCAAAATATCCAAATTACCTGAACAAACTAGAGCAACTATTGGATTTGTGTCTGACGATTGTGCACCAATTAGTGGGCTGCCTCAAATAAATCACAAAGGGGCTCCAAAAACTCAGAATCCCAGCGACACACAAATTCGTGGATGAGGCAGTGCTCCTGCGTGATGTATGCTATGGATCTAATTGACTTTTCTTCTTCTTTGACCCCAAATTAATTCACAAAAAGTTGAAGCCAGTGATGTCAAACCAACAGCACCAACAACTCAATGAACAATTAGCAATTGCGGCATATTATATGTTGAAGAATTGATATTCTTGCCGCGAGATCGCTGACTCCAAGGATGCGGCGGCGATGCAGGCCCTGAAAAAAACTACACTTTTTTTTTGTTTTTTTATGTTTCTCTCAATGAGAGCACCAGTTGATACGAATCTTGTACGATTCGTATCGGGATAGGGAAGAACTTCGAGCGTTCTTCAAACTCCAAGAAGAAGAGGTAGAAAAAAGTGGAAAACTTCGAGCGTTTCCAGGCTCCAAGAGAATAGTAAAGAGATTAGGATTTTGATATTTCTTTATTGATTCATAATAACGGAGGAGGATTACAATATATAGAGAGTAAAGCTACGCTAGTTGACCTAATGGGCTCGGGCCCGTACTAAACCCTAATGTATAGAATATTAATAAATAATAATAAATAATACTAATTAATAAATAATATAACTAATATATTATCATATCATTACTCTTTGAGTATTATTAAAATAGTGTGATGCTATTTTAGCCAAATTCCTAATTCTATATCTTAAGAGTGGTTATCTTAAGTGTGAGTTTTAGGTTCTAGATATTTGATTAAGTGTGTAATATCTTAATTGAATTCTAGATTCAAACCCCAAGTTAGGATAAGAGTGTGTAATATCTCCTAACACCAACTTGGTTTTATCCATCCGTGATATTTCTTCCATTTCATATCCCTCCATTTCTCCTTCTTAATCCTATTCTTTTTCTTCCATAAAATACCAAAAAAAGAACTCCTAAAACACCCTCCATACTTTCGCCCACTATTTCCCTTGCATTTTCCTCCGCACATCCGCCACT